CATCGCTAAAAAGGACAGGAACACTTCGCATGCGAGCACCTATATGAAACAAATAAACAAATTTGATTAAGCTAAAGACGACTTTCCAGGTACATTATTTATTTGTCTATACAGGGTTTACATATAATTTCATAATTAATTTCAGCTTTTTGAAATGTTCAAGATTTTCAGTGCACAAAGGAAAATTAAAGATGAATTTTGTGTATTTAAAAAGGCATGTCTTGTGTCAGGAATTGTTGGATAAGATTATAGTTCAGTAAAAATGTAGCCCAGAAAGGAATTATTCATTCTATTTCTGTATCTAAATACACATTTTTAGTAACCAGTTCTGATGTTTTATACTCCAAAATAATTTCTTTGCTTCATTGTAATTTCTTAAGTGCACGTTGAACCTCTCTACTCCGGCACACTCTGGGTCCAGCAACATCCGTGTCTGGCATGATTTTAGTTGGCCAGATGTCCACTTATCATAGGCTGTTTCCCGTGGTCCCATAAAAGTTTGTTTACAGCCATTAGTCCTGGCTCTCAGTGTTTTGTGCTGTTATTTAACTCAAATTTTCTCCTAAATGTCTTGTTAGAGCCCAGTCAAAACTGGAAGTGTTGGTAATGCTGCTAGACAATATTGACTTCCCGTGGTCCAGCAAAGTCCCTGGACTGGTACTTTTAACTAATGTTAAAAGACCATGCTTGCTATAATATCAATCACAGTGTGTGTGTGTGTGTGTGTGTGCGCGCGCGCGTGCATGAGGGTTAAGAATGAAGTTTTGGTTTGTTAAGTTCACTTAAAAAGTTGCCCTTATAACAAACAGCTGTCTTTATTTGGGTATTTTCAACTGTACCAGTAATAGTGGGAAAGATCAACTTAAATTCAATTATAATATTTTTCTTACATACAGAAATATTTAGGGAAATCAATAGGGAATGCAAGAGTCCTTAGTTAAGATGAACGAACACACACACACACACACACACACACACACACTTCTATGTTTACCTTCACTGCTGTCAATTCCTGACATATTAATCGTAGGTCCATTGGTACTACTGCCTTGGATAGTCTTAAGCTGTTGCTCAAGGCGTTCTAGTTGATAGACAAGGGAGTTCTTCTCTGTGCTGAGATTCTCCAACATGGTCTGCTTCTGAATCAGAGTCTCTGTCAACTGATGAAGCCGATTTTCCAGCTCTGACTGACTGCTGCTGCTCAAAGCCTTGTTCGTGAGCTGAAAAAAGAGTCAGTGCAAAATCTAAGCTAGAAGATTAAACATGATAATTAAATCTAGCTTTTGAAATAGTTCATCTCCAAAGTCCTACAGGAAAGAGTTTGATGTGAGAAGTGGGATGCCTTAGGATTTTGATGATGTAATAGCTATTACTACTACTATCATTAACAAATGTAAAAGGAGAGAAATTTAATTGTAGAAGCATTGTGCTTTGACTATTGCTTTCACCAGGAAGTTCCTGGCAAATAAGTAAATATAAAGTGCTACCCCCATGTGAATACTGCTGCATAATAGATAATTTGCATTTAACAACAAATTCTAGCCCAACAGTCTACTGGAATGAGTAGGAATACATTTCTGATCAGCCCATGACCATTACATCTTCAAGCAGCATAGAATAGACAGTTAAAAAGATATATTGAAGAGGGATGTGAGGGAACGTGGTGCTAGTTAACTGGGAGGCTGTTACAAGTTTAAGGGGCAGCGTGAAAGGCAGCATGAAATTGGACATATGTGAAGGAGAATTAGGAAGAGGTAAGGCTCATGGGCACTGGATATGAACAGCAGAGGGAGAAGAATAAGACTAAGTCTGTCTATCCAAACAGCACTGCAATGGCATAGCTGCACTGCTTTGTGAAGACACTCCCATCCCATTGGCAGAGTTAATTCATCTTCCCAAGAGGCAATAGCGATGGCAACAGGAGACGCCCTCCTGTCTACACCTGGAATTCAGTCAGTATTTTCCACCAACCCTGAACAATATAGCTATACTGACATAAGCCTGTACTGTAGACCAAGCCTAAGGCAATATGATCCACAAGGTCCAATTTGCAGAGATTTTTTTGAAAACAAGGGAGGAGACACTTGATGTAGATCTTTTCTAAATGATTCTGTTTTAAAGCTTTTATCCAGATTCTAACTGGATTCAGTGCACAATTCAAGACACGTATTGAATGACATGCAATGACACAACTGCTATGTTGACAGTTGTGCAAGACATCACCTTGACCTCTACCGGACCGGTATGACTTAAACACTCAAGATTCATTCTGTAAACTGTGTAGGATTGTGGAAACCTAGCTAAGTTTGGCTGTCCAGGAAAAAAAAAATCAGCCAAATTTTGTCTGCTTGGCAGAGTATTTCCTGATGGTTTAATCCATTCAGTGCAAACTAGAGTAGTGAAAAAGAATGTGTGCATCTTCCTTGCCTCTCTTCTCCTTGAAGATGCAATATGTGGCCTCAAAAAGGGGGTGAGCACCAGATTTCTCACTTCAGGCAACTACTACCAGAAAGGCTTCAAACATCTACAAAGTCTTGGTAAACAAACATGATCTGACAGTTTACACTCAAGAGATCTTGAATTTCTCAGACAGAGCTGTAGTAACAAGTAATGGATTTATGTTCCCCCTTACAAAGACAAGGTTACATACTAGTTATCAGAGACAGAAAATTAAAACCATTCATTATATAGATACTGATGAAGGAATTAAATTCCTTAAGAGACAAAACATTGAGTATTAAATATTGACCAGCATTAAGAAACTCTGTGCATCCCTTGGACTACTAAATGTAAGTATAACCCCTACACAGAATCAGAACTGGTGCTAAATACAAGATATTATTCCTGGTTTAGTATACAAAGGTCTTAATATACTGATATTGATCTAATCATCTAAATAGCTGTAAGTAGAATCTCTCATTATAGATTTCAAGTGTTAGAACAAAATCTAAAGTGAGATACCAGAATGACCTTGGACTATTCACATTCAGGCAAACGCAAATTTGTACTTGACAGTGTGCGTGCGCGTGCGCACACACATGATTTTTAACAGTGAGATAGCATCAGGAAAACAAATCCCATTGGGTTCAAAGAATATATCAAGTTAATTTTCAAGTCCTTTGACATCCAATATGTACAGCAAACAGTATTTAACACTAGATTGTCTTTTTCCCCTTGAATAGTCTACCTTGAACTGTGCGGCCTTATATATAATTTGCAAGAAACATATCAGTAAATGTTACATTAACAGGATCCAGCTCCGAAATTCATACTACCCATACAATCACCAATAACTTTCTTTGCTATTTCATATGAAAAAATGTATGAATTCAGCATCTTATTCTCCAGTTATCAGCTTGCATACAGGGTCTCACCAGACAATACAGCCCTTGGCCTACCTCCAACAATACATTCCCTTTCAATGGCCATTAGCCAGGACGGGCAGGGATGGTACCCCTAGCCTCTTTTTGCCAGAAGCTGGGAATGAGCAACTTGATGATTATCTGTTTTGTTCATTCCTTCTGGGACACCAGACATTGGCAACTGTCAGAAGACAGAATACTGGGCTAGATGGACTTTGGTATGACCCATTATGACCATTCTTGTGTTATGTTTCTAAAGACAGACATTTTTATATTGTTCACTTTTTATATTTACTCAAAAGTTAATTTTCATTGTAGAATAGATTTTCTGCAAATCTAATGTGCAGTTTCATTACTGGAATCTGAGTAGCACACTTGATTAAAAGGATTGCACAAACACCAAAATATGTAAAATGAAATCTGACAATTTCATTTTAACAGCTTTACAAACAGATGAAAAACAGCTTTATTCAACCAAAAGTGTAAACTAAAACAAAGGAGGTAATTCAGTGTTATCACCTTTTTAATGGCTTAACAGAATTAAATATTCTTAAAAGCAAATAAATTACCTGATTTCTGAGTTTCTGAATTTCTTCCTCTCTGTCTTGTATTCTGCTTTGCAAAGTATTCTTTGTCCGGTACAATTCTTCCTCATTATAACGGAGCTCCTATAAAATTAATTGCAACCAGTTACAAAATAAAGGATTAATAGACAGCCTTTAGAAAGTATTTTGGGTGACATTTTAGCCACCATTTTAGGCTTTACTCTCAAGTAGAGGACTGTACTTTACTCTGAAAAACTGTCTAAATAGACAGCATAGTGAAGGAAGAGATTTAGCAAAGAGCAACTGACTGAATGGTGAAAATTACTATAGAGCTTGTTAGTACCATTTTTGTATAGTACTTTTAAATTCCCATTTATTTAAAAGCTTAGCATGTTTACAATGATTTTTTTTTTAAAAAAATCTGTCTTTAGTCATCTACTGTTAGAGCAGCACATAATTGAACTCGCCTTTCAAATAATTGAGTATGCAAGGAAAAAAGAAAAAAAATCCTTATCTTACCCATCCTCAACCACACTTTAAATAAACAATCGTCATAGATAAAAAGCCACAGATATGTACATTAATACAACCATCTTAAGTATGGCACTCTGTGCTCAAAACAGTACCCTACATAATTACCAGGGTGAAAATTAGGATATATTTTGTATAAAAAGTGTGTCTTGAGAGGTATCATTTTAAAAGGCTTGAACTTAAATATCCTATTGGACTGTATGGACTATTGTTATATACAGTAAAACTCCATTAGTCCGGCATCCAATGCCCCGGGACGCCTGATGGTCCGGCACCATCAGGAACCCGGAAGTGCTGGGGCAGCTGGACAGGCTTCCCCCATTCAGCTGCTGCTGAAACTGACCAGCAGCTGAATCGGGGAAGCTTAAAAGGCTTGAACTTAAATATCCTATTGGACTGTATGGACTATTGTTATATACAGTAAAACTCCATTAGTCCGGCATCCAATGCCCCGGGACGCCTGATGGTCCGGCACCATCAGGAACCCGGAAGTGCTGGGGCAGCTGGACAGGCTTCCCCCATTCAGCTGCTGCTGAAACTGACCAGCAGCTGAATCGGGGAAGC